TCTAACAATTTTATTTTTTTTTATATTTTTTATAAATTTTGGATAATATCTATGATCTAGAGGAGAAAAATGAGAATCGTTAAAAGTTAAAATTTTTTGTTATATTTAGAATATAAGGATAAAAATATAAAATATATATTATTTTATATCGAGAAACAGAAATCCGCTTTCTCTTTGTAATATGCTCTTTTCCTTTTACGCTTTTTACCAGCGCTTTGATTTAATAGACCTCTTAGATTTGTGCACTTAGAGAAGATAAAATAAATAAACGTCTACATTTTACAGAAATTTTCAATTAACAGGTAGATTCAGGAAATTAAATCCTGCAGAGCTCGAGCTGCAATTGAATCTAATCAATGTATATTTGCGGATCCAATTAAACAGTTTCGCTTTTCCGAAGAATAAATATTTTTGATTTTCTTAGAAAGTGTCTTTAAGTTCAACTATTAAAGCGCTCAGGGAAAAATAGAATTACGTTTGCCGGTATATTGTGAAAAGCATCGCAAATAAATCCCAAGCTGGGGGATTTGTGGTAAATAAAAAAAAGACGTTGCGCTAATTTAAATGACGATTAATTACGTAGATTACGTGGCTCTCGAGGAAATCACGTGGCCGCGTTTTCGGTTGATGCGAGGGAGAAACTTCGTCCAGAGAATAGTCGGAAATGTTCTGGGATTCTTCCCAGGATGACGCGCAATTAAAATAACGAAACACAACTGCTCTCACGTAATTCCGAAAGATCCATCTCTTCCCGCGGTTCGTACATTAACGAAGATATTACACCGCTGTCTGTGCTTGACCTCGTATTTAGGAGCCGGCAAATAAGAAGTTAAGTAATATGCGATCCTGTGACGTAATCTCGACTTTTCCCGGAATATAACACGATATTTGAGCGTGCATGTAATATATTCTCAATATGATTTTTATTGAAATGTGTCGCGCTTCTCGCGCGCAATCGAACTATCTCTTATCGAGTCTAATTTTATGAGAGGCACGTATATAATGCATTTCTCACATTCTTTATACTCCCTCCTTTATGGAAGTCGATTTTCCACGATCCAATTTTAATAATCACTCCGCATGAGTAATTATTAAAGGTATAAAAAAAGCGTCAATATTAATAATGATAAATACATTAATGTAAAGTACTTTTTTACGAAATTTGTCATTTAATTGTACTGAATTACGAACCGAATCACATAGACTGCGTACAGATGCCTTGAGAATTTATGAGTATTAAAAAGTAATCACAATAGCAATTTTACAGATAATCTTTTAAATACGATGCTCGGGAAATACTTTTCTCTCCATTTTTGTTCTACTTTAGACAGTATAGCACTCTACGTGCAAATTTATCTCAAGAGTCATAAAAGAGAAACGATTTCAAGATAATAATTGCAATTGCAGTGAACGATCTAATAATGATAGGGCATCATAAGACTAATACTCCCCGAAATTGTTTTATAATAAAAAAAGAAAATTGTTAAGGCAAAATCGGAACTCTTTAAATAATGGAAGAGTCTATCTTTTGTAATCAAGTTTATAAAACGAGCTTTGTTACATGATTTTAAATGACTATTTAACGATGTTGAAAGAATCTTTTAATATAAAGCGCTTGAAAGGATTGTTTGACAAATTTTTGCTGTTTAATCAAATATAAAATATAAATAATGCCCTTGCAAGGGGCATTGTAAAACCAGTATAAACAAATTTCAATAATATAATAAACTAGTTTTCAATTGTAATCTGTTAATTATTGGTTCAAAATTGACCTACATACTAATTTTATTGCGTGGCACGGAGCTAGACATTTATTAAGATTACTGTAAAATATAAACAAATAAATTAAAATAAATGATATATACACGCACACTATTTATTTAATATATTATAAAATATGAAGAGAGAAAGAGAGATAATATTATATTATTATAATACATGCGAATATGTGTTTTACATAATTATTATTATTATTATTATATTATAAAAGAAATATTACTATAATAATTACAAATTTTTTAAAAAGACATTTATTTTTTATGGCTGACAATATTATCGAATAATTAATATCTTGCTTTAAACGAAGAATAGATCGCCGTTATTAAACGATGATCATCGTGATAATATATAATCAATACTGCAATTTTGATATAATTATCGATAAGGAAACTACACTAATATTTTTTCCGCATTTATCTGCAAATTAGATTTTTCACAAAATAATAAACATTAGTTTCGTTTTCATCGACATTTTCTTTATCTCTCGTAAAGTTGATACCGATGTACGACTGCACGAGTAGGGCTTTAGAAGTCACTGACAATGAGAACAAAGGTTTTCTCGCGAATCTAGCGTCAAATTGATGGCGGGACGTAACACACCGTGCGACGTGAAGGCCAACGGAAGATTGTAACATGCCTTCTAAATTTAGTGATAGCCATTCGTCTAGGCACGAACCGGAGATATATGCAATATATACAACCGAGATAAGCCTTGCCAACAGAACAAATGTAAGTGCAGATTATACCGTAGGATATCAAAGCAGCTGTACATATAGTCTGCGTTACACACGACACACATATGACTGGATGATACAATGTAACATTCACGATATGCATCCTTTCAGAGACAAAAAGGACACATCTCGTGACGAAATATTCGTATAAAGTAATATAATGAAGTAAAAAACATTTTTTTCCAAATCAATCATAGAATCTCATTTTCAAAATTACTCATTACGTAAAAATTCAAATTATAGGAAACGGGAAAATTGTGAGAGAGCTCCATTACTTGCCTCTCATAAAATTAAATTTGATTAAATATGAAGACCTACATTTCTTTTATATTGCTTATTAAATTGAACTTAAAATTATCAATGGCGTGAGAAATATATTTCTCAAAATAAAAGAATGTAAAAAATTATTAATGCAGTCGATTGCAAAGATTGATTGCAATTTACGTATTGTTTCAATATCATTATCTTTTTTTCGCCCTAAATTATAATAATTACGTATAATGTCGAAATTAAATAAAATTTGAAATATTTTAATTAGAAATACAAATAAAATGATAACTTTAATTGCAATGTTTGAAAAATAGATTGAAATGTAAATACGCGAAGAAATGAAAAAAAAATGGAAGCTTATTTATTATTTTTTCGGTTTACATTCTACATATTTTTTAAATAGAAATAGCTATGATACTTTAAATGATTTGTTATCTGTAATGATGACAGGATATATAATGAATTATTAAATTCTAGCGACTAATTGTAAGTGCACAGATGTCTGCTTCAACCAGATAACTAGCGGTTACCGATAGAGAGACTAGCGGATATCGGTAAAAACGTGTCTGCAGTTCATTCGGCGTTTCAAAATTCAAATACTGTAAAGCGTATATAGCATCGCTATTGTTCCGAAACGCTCTCCATAATTGTCATTCCGTCATCAATACATCGCTTTTGCTCCACTATCGCTCCAACTGCGGCTGTGTTCCAAAATTTAATAGTATTAAAAACCTACAGTGCACGTAACGTAAACTATATACATACTATATTTTCAGTACTGACAGTAAATTTTAGAACACAGCCTGTATCATCTCTCTGAGAAACCTGAGAGGAGACATCCCGGCGTGTTTTCGTAGATATCCGTCAATTTATTCGTGCACTCTATATGCGATCGAAATAGGGAAGCGGCATCGCATTTTCCGCATGCGGTCAACTTCACGCGAGGTAAAAAGCGTCGTGCGGCGACTCATCATCTTGATTTTCGACCAAACGAGTATTGCGAAAAATACTTTCAGCAATATAATCAATGTACTAGTATACTAGTAGAATCTACATTACACGATATTTTAAATGTTATCGGAAGTGCACAGTTAATTACACTTTGTGTCGCATTAAATTGTAGCCTAAAAACTTTACGCACTTACAAACTTTACTAAATATCTTTTTTTTGCGTCGCGTGCGAAAATATTAATAGTTTAACAATATTTATTAGTTACCTCATTGATAAATGATTCCAACGATTCTTTCGAACTGCTTCTCATTGTTTACTCTCTGCAGGAATTAGGATACTTTTGGAGGAAAGGTCATATAATTGATTTGAAGTCAGGGCTGCGAAGTTGCCAAACTACTCCAACGTAACGATAGAACATGCTCCAGCCGAATTGCAAAAACGCAGAAATGCGAATTACGCGCTATTTATATACGCCGTTAGACCCCCCACTACTCGCAGCTAGCCAATGAGACGCGGGACCTCGCTACAGGCGCGTATTCGAGCGCTGATTGGATCGCCGCTAGCTTTCCGTTGAAGTATATAAAGCGCATCGCGCGAAAAATTTCAGTTTCTTTTGAAAGTTGATGTTGTGTGTTTCTCGAAGATAGAGACTTTTATACATATTCAGAATACGTTTTTACAATATCAGCGTAATTTTACACATAATTCACGTTATTTATACTATAGAATTCCAAACATAAAAGTGCTTTCTGAATACGAGAGTTAGAAATTATATTCTTTTTATAAATTAAAAAAAACCAATTAGAATAAATAAATAATGGTTGCCGAAGAAATTGTATGAAAGAAAAATCGAACTGAAATATAATAATAAGCAATCGATATTTTTGTATTTACAAAATGTTTAAATGATCCACAAATTTTAAGTCACATATTTTTTAAAATAATTAAGCACATAATTTAGTACTGCAATAGAGACAAATTGGAGAAGTTATACTAGTCTTTTTCTTACATCTATTTTCAATTTGAGAACTATGTCGCTTGCATCTTCTTGCGACGTTATTCTGACTATGATTTTATCGACAGCGTCAGAAAATGGATGTAGCCACGTAGTTTCTAAACCGCAAATGAATGTATTGGCGATAGTGTACCGTCATCTTCGACGATAACAGGAAAAAGGTCGGCATGGTCTCTCTCAGGTTTATCTCTAGCTGGATGCAATCAGAAGTTTTTTTTTTTTTAAAGCATCTTCAAGCCCTAACCTTTGGGCTATATGACCAATCAGAAGTTATCTAAACTTGAAGTTAGACTAAACACAGCACATGAGTAAACAGCTGCCTAAAAGTAAAAGTATTCCTGCGATATTGCGGCTTTAAATAATGGAAAAAAATTTTATTATGGACGAGAATGAACTTTATACATTTTTGAATAATCTGCGAAAATCTAAACTAAAGGGCGAACTGGACACTGAGGAGAAATTGGCGCAGCAGAGTGTCAAATGGCGAAATACCTTGGAATACAGTGATTTAGTCACGTATGCTACACATTATAGCAAGAAAGTAATAATTTCATTTATTAAACTAAATGAATAAGGAAAAGATTAAGCTCGAGGCTAGACCTTAGTGTCTAATAATATTTTTATATGTAAATACACATTTTCCGGTTAAACTGTTGGACTTAAGATATAATCATAAACTGGAGCTGAAATATTATCACAATTAAATTGATCGTTGATTTGACAACGATGCTGCTAACATCTTAAAAGATAATTTATTGCAAAGTGTTACTTCTAAAATTCAAATCTGGAACCTTTGATAATTTAAGTGGATGTTTCTTTTCCAAATCGGCATCATCCAATTAATCGGTCAATTAATTCAATTGTGATATCATTATTTCAATTTCAGTTTATGATTGTATTTTAAGTTTGACGGTAAGTGGCATATTCAGTTTATACATCTAATTAAAAATGTAATTAAAAAATTTATATTTAAAAATACTATTAGATACTCTCTAAAATCTTTAGCTTTGATTATATTGGCTCTTTCCTACTTATTTAATGTATTCATATAGTGGTCCAGATTAACTCATTATTTATTCTCTTTATATAACTCTTAAAAATAATCTTCTTATTTAAATTGTGTATCTGTTACTTTAGAATTCGAATAGTATTGTAGTCAGATAATAAGAAGTCTTACATATATATTTTTTGTTATACAGTGCAGACTGGAGATGCTGGCACTCTTAGTGGAATCAAAGAAAAGCACGTCAAGCTTTACAGTAATGGAACTTCATTTAATTCTGTTATTTTTATCTAATAATTTGTGTGAGAAGATGGAATATATGCCCTTTATTAAAAAGGTAACAAGGAACATTGACATTGTTTCTTATTAAAATCTTGCAATCAAATTTGTTGTATCTTTTATAGGCTTTAAAACGGTTGAAAGATAGTTATGCTGTTACAGAAAGACAATTTTTGCAAGCACTAAAAAAAAAAGAATGTTACGAAAAGCAAAATTTAATTTCCAAAATGTATGAAGACAATCATTTGGATGTAGCTCATAAAGAATCTGAGCAAATTGAATATAATACGAGGACAAATTACGAATATTTTATGTTGAACTTGCGTCGACTTTGCGTGTTCAATCTGTATCCAGAAGCAACATATGATCACAAACGTTCCTGCTTGCAGATACTTTTACTAATGCAAAATCTCATGCCTGATAAATTCAAAAATTTGAAATGGGAGAAAGACAAAGTAGAAGTGATATTGTATTGTTTAATGGCAGATACGTACGAACCCAATAAGGAAATGGCATATCAGATAATCAGTTCGATCAGTCCAGAATTGTTAAGCTTAGATTCAAAACCCTGGATTCATTCAATTATGAAAGCTGCTTTTAAATTTGGTAACAGCGTTCGACCTATTGACAGTATTACGGCTGCATATTTGTTTAAAATAGCCAAATTATCTCCTATTATAAGAAATTTTTGCGATCACTATAATGTAGACAAGGTTCCAGAAGCGATAACATTGCAATTAATTGTACTTCTATATGAAGAATTACGAGTATGTATAAGACATAATTCATTTTAATGCCATCAAAAAACTTTTACAATTTACAGAATATATTGATCTTATTTTTTTAGGGAGTATTAACTTCAGCAAAAGAAAACCTAGGAATAGCAATTAGTAAAAATTCTTTATATGGATATTTATTCTGCATTAGAAGTTTGCTTTCAGATTACGATATAAGGTAATTAAAAAAAAAATGAGTATTATAAACTTTTTTTGAAAAAATAATATATGATATATTTATTTCTTTTATTTTTTTGCTTTAGAGCCACAGAAGGAAACGAATTATGGCAAAATACTGTAGCTGATATTATAATATTGTGCTTTGAACTAAATCGTACTGTTTCTGTGGTAGTAAATAATTCCTCACCAGAAGGACATTTACCAATGGACTTGGAAACACTAAATTTAAATGCATCATTTTACATGAATGAAATTCTAACACCACAAATGGTACTACTTTGTTCTTGGCGTACTGTTAAAGAAGTCAGTCTGTTGTTTGGTTTACTTGCTACTAAGGCATCGATACAAACTGCTGAATCTCCAAATGGATTATTAACAGTAAAACAAGTGAGATTTACGTATATGTGCATGTGTTCATGTTTTAATGAGACACAAAAAGGTTAATACAAATATGTTAACAGATTGAGAATATAATGAAACATTTAGTTTCGTTACTGTGTGAAACGAAACATAGAGGTGCATTTGAACAAGCGTATGTTGGTTTTCATCAATTATGCACGCGATTATGGCGTTTAACAGACAAGTCTTTAAATAGGCTTCCTATGTTTTGGTTGTACAGTATCTTAGCGCATTTTACGGGATTCGCTTCAGGATATACATTATGCGCAACAAGAAGAAGTGCGGGTATTCCATTTATGATACAGGTATGGTTATGATAAAGAATATTTTATAAAAAAAGAATTCTAAAAACGTAACACTAAAACGAATTTATTTATTTCAAATTAGGCAGTTTTATCCTCAGAACCAAAAATCCAGAATAGTTCAGAAACATTTGCATCTTGGATTATGACGGTTTTATTACAATTTGCGCAGATTAAGTGCACAGATTCTTTACATCAGTCAATGATGGTCGTAATGCACGGACATCCAATATTCTCTAAATCCGAGTTTTTAATTTTATTTGAACAGATAGAAGAAAAGTGTAAGAAAATGACTGATCATGACTTGATCGAGATAAAAATTCATTCTATGAATATTCTTAGAGCTTTATTTAGACATTCTCAACTCGGAGACATAACTAAGAATCATATTATGAATGCTTTGATGGTTGCCTGTAAGAATTATGAAGGTGCAAAATGGTCGGTAAGTGTGTTATATATTATAATTTTTTATGAATATTATTTCAACTATACTTATGCGGAAAATAATTTCTAATCGAATTATTAGGAACGTAATGCGGCTACGTTATTGTTCAGCACACTTATAGTACGAATTTTTGGTGTTCAAAGAACCAAGGATCACATCAATTTGACAACGGATAACAAAATGACAGCGAGAATATTTTTTGAAAGATATCCCAATCTATTTCATTTTATTTTACATGAATTGCGAACTGCATCGGATAAAGAAAAAGTCATGATAAGATCCAACGAGCAAGTAATTTTATTGCTGCTGTCACGATTGTATATTAATTGCCATTTTGACATCGATATTACTTGGGTATTTATAAATCCAATTTTTCCACTACGCTCGTTAGAGGCGAACATTATGGTAGATGTAATTCCAGATAAATGAAATTGTTAATTTGGTATCAGAACGTGGTAAAAGCCCCGTATATAAAACACGTGAACTTGCAGCTAGAGCATTGGTGCCATTATTAGCAGATAGTACAGCCTACAACTTCTTAAAAAAGTTATTTGTAATTTTATGTACAGTACGATATAATCCAATTTCTACAAATCTCACACATGGCTATTTGCTACAGGCAAGTATGAAACTTAACAAAAATAGAAGAACAATAGAAAATAATTAAGATAAATACTTAAAACTAAAAATATCACGTATATTCTAAATTAAAAAGAAATTAAAACGCATAATTATATTAATTTTCGATTGATTAACTTGTAGATATTAGAGATTTTGACGAGATTGCCATCCGTCCACATACAGCTATTAAAATCTGATGTCACAAATTTTGTACGCGCAACAGATTGGATATTGAAAGGATTAGAAAAAGAAACTAATACGTTCAGTTGTTTTCCCATAGCTAGTGTATACATTGACATTCTTCATTGTTTAGATGAAAATATGTAAGAAAAATAATTTCACAGAAACCATATCACTTAAGACAGACTTTTTACTAACATATTTTTCGTGTTTTTAGGATTGAAAGTTGTGATATAGAGGATATTTTATATATCCTGCAAAAGCACTTAGTCGACGAAGATCTATTAAAACGAGGACCGTGCGAACAAATGTATAAAGTATCTGCCATCAAATTTATACTTCGTATGGAGAATTCAAAGTTTCTGCAGACGGTGCACAATGGACAAAGTATAGCATTCAACATATATTCGCATCTTTTGGTCATTCCAGAAGCTGAGATACAGAGCGTTGCTTGGACTACTGTTTTGGAAGTAATAAAGGCGGAATCTTATCAGCAAGGAAAATTATTGAGTGCTTTTGCTCTTCGCACAATTGCCGATATTGCTGATGATTTATATAAATTTAATCCAAATTTACAAGATGCGATTTTTTATTTCTTATATAACAGCCTGACGGACAAAGATGGATGTTATGTCATCGACAAACGTGAAATTTGTAATTTGGTTTTTAAGAAACTGTATCTAAATGATGCAAACAATATCTATGATCAACGTGCTAATTATTTGATATTGTTAGGAAAATGTATGACAACATTAACTCACGAATTGAAGGTTCGCTTGTTATTTTACTCATTTTTAAGACTTTTTTTCGATTTCTCTGTTGTTTATTTTTGTCCTTATCATGTATTTGATATATCTTTTCAATTAAAAAAAAATATTTTTTTATGTTTATTTTAAGGATAAAGAGCTCAGGATAGAACACATAGAAGACATTTATAGAAAAATCTGTGACAATAGATGGATTGGTTTGTTAATTAAAGATTCCAGATTATCAGTTTTCGATATATTGTATGAACTTTTTGAAAAGGACATCGTTATCGAACATTGCCGTATGAATCGAGAATTTCTACAATCAACGAAATTAAATTCGCGTAACAGTATAATATTAAACATATCTTTTTACAGATCCCGTATTGGATTGGTGGACAATGTTATTGCAATTATTAGTCGATGACAACGCGAACGTTCGGCACGATGCGTCTAAAGTAATTTGTAAGCTTGAACCGTGCAACAAATTGGAATGTTTCAAACAAACTTTGTTGGTATTCTTCTACAAGTTTAAAAAAATGGTCGCTGATAAATATCCGAAAATAGCAATAGGCGTCCTTTTCTGCTGGAGTGTCTCATTGTTAGGAGATATGAATTATGAAATGGACGATAACGAAGTAAGTGAATATATATACATATATGCAAGATATAATAGAAAAACTCTAGATATATGATCTAAGCTATATAAATATAACACTTCTACAATTTAACGTAAACGTTCTATATTTTAGAGAAAAATTAGTTAAAAAATAGTTTTATTGAAAAATAATATATTTATTTTTACAATAACTTTAATTAATATTTCGTTAGTTTTTCCTTTAATTGACTTTTATTATCGCTTTCTATAAATTGAGGATATTTTATTCTTATGATTATATATTATAATATTCGATATATGTGTGTGTTTAAGAGTGTAATTTGAATGTTTACAATAGGTTTTCAACAAATGTAGAAATTACAGTATCTTCGATCCTAAGGAAATATCAGATCTGTGCTTCAAGTTAACGAAATCGATAACTCAACAATATTCCATTAATAATATCAATTTTAAGTTACCACCGGATGTTGTAAGATGGATAAGTTACCGTTTAGATATCGATTTTCCTGCATTGTCATCTTTTAAACAAATTATATATAATTATCAAAACAACCTGCCGATAACCGAAGAGATATTGAAAGATACAAGATTCAGGGGTAAACCATTCCAATCTTTTGCATGTAAAAAATACATGTCGTTATAATGTCAGATAATCTACGATATAATTATACTTAAATGTAAAATGTTATTTATATGTGTAAATACATATAGAATTTCACTATATGTAGATTTCACTACATTCTGTACGTAGATTTTTGAGAAAAAAAATAAAAATGTATTTTTTAAGAAATGACTCAAGATTCTTTATATCGGAGCACTATACCTATGTTACACACAAAGAGTAGGTTTATTTAAAAAAATTAACTATGTGATATAAAAGTCGAAAAAATTTTTTATTTAACTTACATAGTCTTAACATAAACATGTTTATTCACAATATTTAGTGTGTGACCTATGATGCCTACACTACATGTTACCGTGCCCACATTATATCATTTAGTATTTCGGATATATTAAATATTTTCTTGAAAAAATATGCCGATAATTTCTAAGGATGTTAATGACATATTTTTCAATTTTGATAGTTCTGATGATAAGCTACCGAACGAATAAGGTGATATTTGTTAAGGACTATTTTGCCTTCTGCAGAGATTTAAGGTTCTACACAACTATTTAATTTTTAATATTTTTAATATTATGTATACATTAGTATACAATTGTTAGCTATATAAGGTTGGTCCAAAATGTGGGTGAAGTGATTTGATAAAACTCATATGTTTTTACGTGTCTTAAATGTGTTGAATTTGAATGTCTGGAACATGTCTTGAAAAGTATCATAAAAATTTTATATTTTATGTTAAAAGTGTTGAACGTTATATATAAATCTATTTTAAAAATATTCTGCCGAAAATATATTACAGATTAATTAATAAGTTTTGAATTTTATTTTTACCACGAATTCTAATACATTTTCTTTTTTTAAATAAAGTTATATTAAACAAGTTACTGCGATCATTAATATGCGATACTTAAGTATTTTTAATAGTTACATTAAGATTTCATATTTTGTTTTTTTTTCATTATATTAAATAATCTCTGTGTAATTAATTAATTTTTTTGCAATAGAATTTCGATTTTTGAAAAAGTATTTAACATTTAATTCTTGCATTAATGACAGCACTTTCCATTTTTCTGTCTTTACTCTCTACAGATTAGATTAAATTTATATTCATTTCACGCTAAAGTGCAGCCATCTAATTACAGCGTGAAATGTGCCATTAGCTTGTACTGATTTTCACTTCAAATGTGTCGATACTTCGAGACTATCGTTCTTCGATATTGCGATTCTCGAAATTCTATTGTAGTCTTTCCAAATGTAGTCAGTGATCAGTCATAGAACGATTTGCGACGAATCACGAAATTGTGTTCTACGTGCTCTGTACTGTTCGCGATTATTACGCTATTAACAGCAAATTTCACGCGCAACTAATTATCGGACGTATATCCTGTAAAGTGTTCGCAATGATAATCAGATGTATTCAGCAAAGTGTCCACAAGGAAAATAATCGCGTATAATTGCTATTATACGCGAATGCTGTGATCGGTAATTGATTCTATTATTCGTTATTTGATTATTATTTGTTTAAATTATTTATTTCCACCCCTGAAAAAAATTTTTTTTTTTGTCCCGTAAACGAGAATTTATAAGGTACTGAAAAACAGCCATTATAATTACTTCGTTCGATTATTAAATAAGGCACTATTATTTATTCAAAATATTAAAAAAATAGTTAAACAATTAAAAATTTATCTTCTCTCTAGTATTAAATCGATCAGTAGAATAAAGTGAATTTTGTACGTCGTTTGTCGATCATTTCGTAATGCGCTTCTAAAATTCTAAATATTCGACTAATAAAAAAAAGAATTTGTTTCTAATTACGATGATATATCGACAAAGAATGTTTCAGAGTTTATAATATTTATCTGATTAAAAAATTTTTATCAATATTTACATTGGTACGTATTGGAAATCATATATTAGCTAATATGTCATCAATAAATCGTATTATCAAGAGAATTTACAAAACAAATTTTTATATCCGCATGAAATTATTGTCTTGATTTTCACTCTTTCGCTAGGGGTCCAGAATTAATATTATCCCACAGACAATGCGGTAATTCATATGTCACTCATCTCGCCTCTCTCGAATAATGGCCCGAACGATTATTATTCCGATTATTCCAATTAATTAATATCTAATATACTCGAAGAAGCTTGTCGCGTTTGGCGGGCGGCGGCGCCACCGCGCGGTGGCGGCTCGGCACAGCGCGGCGGCGGCGGCGGTACCTCCGAGCCGAGACTCCGAGCCGGGCCGAGCACGGCCGAGCGCGGCCGACTCGCACGCGTATTTCGCGACGCGACGTGCTACCGTGCGACTACCCATCCGTACTCCCGTGTTTTTTCCGATTTTTCGCGCCTCCGCCGAGTGACCGTCCGCGTTTCGTACGCGTCAATGCCCACCGCCTGCCTCCGACCGATGACGGCGCGTCCGCGCGCCTCCCGCTGATTGTGAAAGCCCCGAAAATCGAGTGGGTACACCCTCCCCGCGTTGCTCCACGCACGCACCGCGCGCACGTACATACGTAACGCACGTATATATACACACACACACACATATACACGGGTGGTGTACGGTGTGCTCGTGGTGTTCGACAGGAGAGGAGGCATGGAGTGTGTTCAGTGCGCCCGTTTCAAATCGTCACGGGCCGTTACCTCAGCCCCGTACGCAGCAAGGTGAGTTACGTCTCGTCACGCTTTATTCGTGAGAGACCGGAGCGAGAAGGGAACGAAAAGACGTATAGAGAGAGAGAAAGAGAGACGATAAAGGGTTCTCGCATCGAGAATCGCAAATCGCCGGGGACAGCGTGCGAGGGGACGTCAGAATTTGCTCCGAGAGAGACAGATCTATTCTTCTTGCTCCATTCCCCTACTCCCATCCCCCCCCCTCCCTCCCTCACTCTCACTCTGCTCCGGTACCTGACCTACTTGTGCGCGAGCTGTCATCCTATGGTCGGTACTATTCTCCCCCGGCCCTACGCGAGCACCGCGCGCTCCTCGCCGCGCGGCGGTCTACCTTGCGCGAATCTTCTCGCGGTGGTAGGACCGCGACACACACAGGCCGGGTCGTTTCGCGCGGAGGAGTCGCGTGAAGGGTGGACAAAGAAGAGTAGGGGAATAATCACGGCGAGCGCGTAAGAGCGGAGGCACGGGACGACGACGACGACGACGACGACAGCGACGGCGACGACGGCGACGACGAAGGGAGGAAAAAGGAGAGGAGAGAAAACGAGTTTGAAAACTGGCATCGCCGGTCGATCGCCGCCGCACCAGGTGATTCCCGAAGCGCGTTATTCCCTCTCCCCCTTCCCCTCCCCCCCGAAGAAGCGGAATGCTAAACAGTCATCGAGCGCTCGATCGACTAACGGCGTCTTCCCGAACGCTCTTTCTTCACCTCGTCTCTCGCTCTTATATAGTCTCCTTCTTTCCCCGATACGCTCCTGTCTCGCTACTCTCTCCTTTCCTTCCGTTTCCCTCTCTTCTCTTCCTCACGTTCTCTCTCGTGTCTTCTTTCCCTCGAGGGAGAGAAAGGTCATCGGTCTCGAATTCATCTTTTGTCCGCGCCTCTCTTATACAGAGTACAGCATTTTCTCTCTCGTCCCTCTCTCTCGCTTCCTCTCTTTCTTTCCCTGTCTCTCGACGATGAACTTCTCGGGTTTCCTTTAACGAACGTCCGCGCGAGAAATTTACGAGCAGTTCGCGGAATCGAACGCGTCGCGCCGCGCCGCCGCCGCCGCCGCGCGTCGTATCGACGTCACAGCGCCCGGTGCCGCGACACCGATTTTCGTGCATAAATATCGCGGACCCGGCATGAATCAGCGGACCTTTTGCAACAGCTGGCTCTGGATAACGTTAATACGACAGCGTGGTCTTGCGATAAGAATTACCGGAACACTCGAGATTGTTTACCAGTAAACATGCGCGTGGTAAACATTCTTGCAAATGAAAAGAATCAGTTTTGTTGATGAAAGGTATCTGAAAATTTAATTGAATACACATCTCAAAATAATTTTATTGGCTGTCAAAATCATCATAATCAAATAAGACAGTTTTGCTAAAATATCTAAAAATTTAACACATTACATAGATCTGAAAATATTATGTTGTTAGAGTTAGGCTGTTAAAATAATCTTATTAGGGCGATTTTGTTAAAAATTTAATTAAACACGTAGATCTGAAAATAATTCTGTGGGATCATCAAAATAATTAAGTAGGACAGTTTTGTCAGCATCTAAAAATATCATCGGGTACATAGATCTAAAAATAATTTTGTCGGATCATCAAAATGATTAATAGAACAGTTTCGTTAAAGTATCTACAAATTTATACCTGAAAATATTATTTGAAATGCCTAAACTTTGATGATAATACTGCAAAAAGTTTTAATATTCTAACAATCAGTTTATACATATAATTACTTTGACTTTGATAGAGAGTTCAAATAAAATTATTTTTATTATTTTTTTTTTTTTATTATAGACTTACGTGAACTTAAAATTTTAGATTCTTTAATAAAACTGTCCTTACCGTGTTTACTGTACTCGAAATATGATATCGTAGAAATTGTTATAACTGAGTGCAGTGAAGAAAAAGGAAATACCGAGCTATCAACAAACTTTATAATTGCCACACACAACGCAACAGTTATAATTAAGCGAAATATCAAAATGGACTTCGTTCGAAAATACTAAATTATTTACCCACAGATTTCGTCGTTATATCGCTATTTGTGTTAAACTTCGCTGATATTTATTTTTGTTCTCCCGCGTTAATATCTCTAGAATTTATGTCACGAACTGTTTTGAAAACGTCACTCAGTAAGATGCCAAACGTATCTGAATCTTTTTCAATTTCTCACAATTTCTCCATCTCGCACACATTTACTAATATTCGAACAATTCCAGAAACGGAGCATGTAGCATATTTTTATAAAAGAATAATGTCACTCGAACGATCTGTAATACACAAAAATAGCATCTGAATCGAAGGTATTTGTAAAGCGTTCCATAAAGCAGAACCTTCGG